ATTTTGATGCGGTTTTTTTAATAGATAGAGTGATTCTTAAGGAAGGTTTATATGTATAATACATATATTGCACCCGCCCGAAGCCGGGGCGGGTCGCTGAGACAAATAAAACAAAGAAGAAATATAATCAGAACATCATTTAATAGCGCAATATAACATTCACATCGGTAAATAATAAATTGATTTACTTTAAACAAACAATAAATAATTATCCTAATCACATTATCCTATTACAACTATCGTTGAATAGTTTCTGAACAACAGCAATCCACAAAATATCCTTTACACTTTTTAATGTACTAGTACAAGGTATACTTTATATTATTATAAGGATGGGATCTTAATAACCAGTAAAATTCGATTCTAGCTATGTTATTTTAGAAGTATTAAGTAATTTAGATGAATAAGTCACTCTGAAATAAGAACTTTATGTTAAATAATGTGGTCCATTCGAAAATACTGGTAGTACTTTATTCAGCAGTAGCGCCATCTACTAAGCGCAAAAATTGCTCTGAACTATGAGTACGTTTTAGTTACTACATTTAAATAATCAAGAAGCATCGAAAACGAATTTGTCTGGCTATCACAGAACATTTTGATTAAAAAATGCATCGCTGTTAAACTAATCTTTACATTTAGTTCCAGGCATTAGCACAATATAAGTTTGTGTACAAAAATACAGTCACCAAAATAAGCTATCATTGATAAATGCATTAATGTGGTTACAGTATCAACTACCAACACACTCGCTGCCTCGCCTCTGTTGAACACAAAACCCAATTAAAAAAGTAAATATTGAGTATGAACAGATCTTTAAAACTGAATTGTCATTAAGATTAACTCAAAACAGTTCCGAAGAAAATAGAATACATTTTTTTTGGAAACATTGCTCCCTGAGGATAATGATGAACAAGATGAAAACACAAGCTATAACAGAATGTTGAATAAAGACCTTACTAGAAACCGGTCCATTATGAGTGCTTTGCATACAAGGTGTAAACGCAACGCTACAAAAAAATTCGGATTCGACGGATCACCTGATGGTAAGCAATCGGCGTCGCCCATTGAACACCAGAGGCGTTACGAGTGCGTTACCGGCCTTTTGGGGATTAGGAGTTTGAGGATCGTTGGGGATTCAGGAATTGGGAAGATTGAGGAAGGGGAGGGCAATTGGGCCTCTGGTAACCTCACTTACTCGATGAAACACAACGCAAGCGTTGCTTCACGTCGGTTTTCTGTGAGGCCATGGTATCACTCCGGTCGAGCCGGCCCATTCATGTCGAAGCATGGCAATCCCACACTTAATAAGGTGACGTTAAAAAAGGAGTTTTATTTTCAAAAAAGTAAGGAATTAAATGTTTATTTTATGTAATAATAACACAAAATCAAAAAACGATACAAATTGTAAAATTAAAAAAGAATTGTCTGTGTTTTCGGAAACGTTCCGTTTACTCTGTAAAAGCACAGGAACCCCTCCTCTTGTATATGGAAGCAAATCCCCTAAAGTTTATAATTTCAATTGAAACATATTGTGCAGTAAACATGGAATTTTCTAAGGGCGGGCACATATTGAACAATTAGTTGCAGGTTCATTAAAACTAACATTTAACAAAATCGATCCACATTTATCTATCTTGCTCTATCAAAGGGGATTATATTTTTGGGACTTTTCTGTACATAATGAAAAAAAAATTGTAACGGTAATTAAAAAATTGGTATGTATCGTTAGAACTAGCCATTAGCAAATAGCTTCACGTTTAATTTTTTTTTTTGTTGACGTTCAAAAGTGCCATTCTGGCCTAATTGAAATAAATGATTTTGACTTTGACTTTGATTTTGACTTTGACTTTAGGAGAAAAGGCCCAAAAATGTATGGAGCCGAAATTATCTCCTTTAAACAATTGGTACTAATTATTTTACTGTTTATATAATAATATAAAGCGTTGTGATGATAAGAAAGTAATACAACATAATTAACAAAATAAATAATGTTACCCAAAGGTCAATAAAAGAGTAAACATTGATAACTAGGTTTTACAACGAAATTTGAACCTTATTTTAACAACTGTAAGTAACATATTGCGAACTTTTCCGTCACAGCATATAGTTTATAAGTCAAACACCTAGAAAATAAAGTATGCAACAGTAAGCGATGGCCAAGTTGTAAATTTGTTTAAACTGTCAAATACCAAGCGGTCACCGGTGACCGCAACCTATTGTTCTATAATTGTGTCTGCAAAAACGGTACTCGACGAGTTAATAGACTTCAAACCATATACTTTTGTCGTAAGATTTAAAATCAATTAATGACATTTCCAACCTTCACAAGTCAACGAAGAAGCTTAATTTCTTTACTACAATTTTTTAGCTACCCATTATACACATACACAAAGTCTAAACATTTATATTCAAGTTCGTACACATTTCATTTAAATATGGAACAAATAATAATAACAATTATTGTCTTTTAAATTATAGTAAAATTATTTTAACCATTTTAAAAGTATTACATTTGTTGTAAGCTGTATTTATTAGGAACGATCGATAAAAATATATTTGTAGTCAAGTACCTATATTTTTTTATATGTAGTCCTCAATAAATATTATATTAGTAAAAAATATAAACCAAAATTTTTATGTGAATCAAAATACCTATATTCATTATTTTTCTTTTAGACATTAATTAAAAATTATGACCTCAGTTTTGAGCAAATGCCAATTAAAATTGCACCTAAAATTATATAAATTTTGTGACACTCTGAGTATTATATCATAGGCAAAACCAAACTAAAATGTATAAAAAATCAATGCAATCAATCTCTTCAGTGTTTTAATACTCTTAGTCAAGTAAAGGTCAACCCTTTGTTACTTAAAAGTTCTATTTTACAACCAGTAAATTCAAATTTTCAGAAGCTGTCACATATAAGAACTATAAGTGGAGAGGTCGCCACTATCGCGCCAGTTTGGGTCATAGACAAACATGTCACCCCATGATAAATATTGCATACCCTGAATATTCGTCCCCTAAATACTAAAAATAAGAAATAAATTTAATTAATTTAACTCACAAATATTACTAATAAAAAATGCAATAATCGCAAAATAATTCAAATATACATATAATACACAAAACTTTCGATCCGACATAATTTCATTGTTTACGATTTTAACGTTTATCACAAATTAATCAATCAATTAATTAAAGTTATAAAAATTTAAAATACTATTGGAAAACAGATCTCATCTAAATCTCAAACGATCAGAGATTTTAAAATGAGTTTAGAATGCCGGAAGATCTTCTTATGTCACATCTCTCGAGTGGAATACATAGGCGTCTTGTACCCATAACTCATAAAAACTAGCGTTGTGATCATATTTGACTGAAATATACTATAATTGGGATGATGACAGGGTATGAAAATTAAAAATCTAATTAGTCCGTATGTCAGATAATTAAAAAATATTAGACACGTATTTTTTTATCTTGTTGTATAATAAAACAATACTTAGATAAAACGAAACAAAGATTAGGAGTGAGGGCTAAAACGTCATTTCTACATATAAAATGTACATAGAAGTGACGTCACGCGACATTTCAAATCAATGTATCGTCGAAAGTATTCGATTCTGTAAGAAAATAAAAAATACGTGTCTAATGATTTAAAATAATCTATCTACCAGACGGACATTAAAATAAAAATTAGGCATCTACCCTATTAAGTACAAGACGCACCCGTCTTGTGAACAATAAAAACATAAAATTAAACCATATTCATAAAAAAGTATCACGCGTTTTGAAATTCAAAATTACCAACACTGATCCCTTTGCAGTAAGTTGCCATAAGAAAAATTGACTATCAATAAATCATTGCTAACAGTGTGTTTATTTAAACAAACATGGAAAACAGTTGTCCCGACATTGACTAAAACTAAAAATTCGGTAGCTAAGTCGTGAGTTTCTATGATAGATTTTTAACCTTATGGTTTTGTCACAAAGTTAGAAATTCATCAATGACACCACTGTCGAGACTATCAGCTATATGAACACAAAATGAGGAGGTATTTATTTAATGTAACAATTACCCGTTCATTATAAATAAATAGGAAATGTGTTCTACTAAGTAGCGTAACTACAGGGTGGTGAGTCAGCAAAATGCCACTGGCCCCCAGCCAAAAGGGGCCCCGTTCAAAGGTGAATATGAAAGGTTCAAACCTGACCTTCCCTATCCTAATACGCAAAGGGTGCCTATCCGGTACATTTGCCGGGGCCTCGATCAGTATAGTTATGCAGCTGGTACTACTCTAACTTTATAATGAGGTTAAATTAATGTGATGTCATAGTTTTAAAGACTCTTACAAATGCATCACTCATCATTCACTCATCAAGCCTACGTATGAGAAACGGAACGACAGTGTATAAATAATCCGTTTTCACCAATCACAATAATTGTAAAACAATAATTTCTCTAAATAAACGTAGTTGCATCATATTATCTAAGATTAAACACACATAGAAAAATTCTTTAATAATCCAGTCGTAGCGCTAAATCAAGTAGCACCGTAAAACAGCCTCTATAAGGTACTATAGAAAGTTCAAAATGGTTTGTTACCCTACTCTTCTTTCTGCTTTACTGGCTCCAACTCGTCAGGGTTCTCATCCATACTGGAAGCAGTGTCCGTGCGAGAAGTGTCTACAGGGTACAACCTGAAATGAATTTAAATATTATAATTTTAAAATCCATATCTGGATAAAGATATCCTTTATAGGACACACGATAAACACTTAAGACACTAATGCCATCTACGATTAAGTTATGTACAAAACTAAATTATTTAATCTGTATTCCTATATCTCTGTACCACAAGAACAAATACCAGAACAAAATGTTTGTTACAAAACAACCCTATTATTAACAATTTAACATTGATATTTGCTTGACAAACAAGATATTATCTTAAATGAACCAACACAGTAATATCAAAGTTCATTTAAATACAACTCACCATCTCTGATACAAATAGACTAGGAAGACGAGATCATCTCGGAAGCAGGCAACACGATGAGCGGTGGGCATAGTGATGATGAAGGCGAAGATATCGTCTATGAAAGTGTTGAACGCCTTGTACATGAACGCGCGCCATGGTAACGCGGCCACTGACCGCAGGCGGTAGTTCACGAACAGCTGAGGTAACATGAATAGGAAGCCGAACGCATATACACCGTTCACTATGCTGTGCAGCGCCCAGGAATACCAGCTGGAAATTAAAAAAGTATATTATTTTCTTTTAGGTTTGACTACAGTGTGACTGGAATTTTATAACAGAAATCGGCTGTAAAATCGGTAATCTCATAAATAGATTACAAAACAGTTTATACAAGCTTTTTTTTAATAGCATAAGCCGGTAACCGAGCAGACGGATCACCTGATGGTAAGCAATCAGCGTCGTCTATGGACACCCGAAACACAAAGGCGTTACAAGTGCGTTACCGGCCTTTTGGGAATTGGGAATTTGAGGATTGTGTAGGATTCGGGGATTCGGGAGACTAGCGAGGAGGGTAATTGGATCGAAACATAACGCAAGCGTTGTTTCACGTCGGTTTTCTGTGAGGAGGCTCGACCGGAGTGATACCACAGTATCATTCCGGTCGAGCCAGCCCATTCGTGCCGAAGCATGGCTCTCCCACACTTAACAAAATACCTTGAACATCTACTGGTAAACAAACTATGATTTTATGGGAATATCTCTATGGTAAATGAATCTCCGGAAATACTGGTTTGAATTCAATAAATGTTAATTTCCAATAGCTTATAACCGAGGAAGTTACCGAAAACTTCATCACGATACGATCGATAAACGCCGAGCAGCAGATGAAACCGCGAGGCAACAGTTAGTTTTTGATAGATTTTGAATCTTATCTACCTCCTAATAAAGTTGAGTTAGCAGACTTACCTCTTGTGTGGCTCATAAACCAGCGAGTATATAGCTCCAGCGATGCAGAGTGGGTACAGTAACATAGACAAATACTTCATGGCCTCAGCGTCGGCTTTGGCCGTGCTCTTCTCTCCCGCGTCAGCGCTCGTGTCCCGCCACACACTTAGCCTCCATCCAGAGAACGACACCCGCAAATGTAGGACTTTTGTCACCTTCCATAACTAGAAAGACATACATATTCATGTTGCACAAAAATTTCTTTTCATTCTGTTATTAAAAAAATACCTTTGGATCTTCTCAATTTAACAATATTAGTAATGTGGTTAGAATGTTATACTTATAACTTAATACTTCGCTTTGATAATATTCTTTTTCTTACTCAACATGACAGACCCAATCAGTTAAGCGTTAAAAATGTTTTACATAAGTGTATTGTCAACAAAATCTGCATACAATTGCATAAATATCATCACACCTTTTATACCCGAAGGGGAAGGCAGAACTGAACATTACGGCACTTAATGCCACTATACAATTTAACAGACATCGGTTGTAAAGTCGGTAATTAGAGCTAAGCTAAATGAGCTTATTGCCATATACCAGGCACATTTCCAGACTCCATGCTACTACTGAGATATGTGCAATAATTACCTCAATAATCGCACTAATGCCGGCCGGTATTAGAACTAGAAGCGAAGTCATCTCATCTAGTAAATAGAAGAATATGACGAGTTGAGAGAATGCCCTCCATAACACAGTGCGAGCAGATAGGCCAGCGAGAGAGCGCTTGCGTCGCCAAAACGATACATCATTTTTAAAGGCCAAGAAGTCGAACAGCAGCTGAAAAAAAAACAATTACATATAAGTTAAACCTTCAGTCATGTTACATTCATTATAAAAATCAAGTCTCCATACTAAAAATCAGATGAACCCAGGACTCTGAACAAGATAGTAGCTATCTTATTCAAAGTCCTGGGTTCTAGTCCACAGACAACAAATCAGGAATTTTATAAACATAAATAAACCTTTAGCATTCTAATATAAATAATTTATCATTATAATAATACAAACAAACTTACATGGCAACTAGCGATCAATACGGTTGCTGATAACAAATACAAATTGGTGTCTGCAAATATTCCTTTGACATCATCTACGTCCTTCTCACTGAACCCAAGAGCGAAGAGCTGTTCCAACGCTAAACGAACATGTAGAGACAGCCGCAAGGAACCATATGATGTAGGAGCCACATTGACTGTAATATTCACTTCAGTAGAACTACTGTTCAAAAGTTGATAGTGTGATAGTCTTGACTTCAAGACATTGTGGTGTAGTATCGGTAAGAATTTGCCGCTTCGTACCCTGCAAGAAATTGTGAATGTAAATTAAATTGATATTTTATAGTACAACAGTAACCTAAGAAGTAATTTAGTAATAAGTG